AATGACGTCTCATTAATATTTATATATTAATTTTTATATTTATATAAATTGATTTAAAAATTGCAAGAACTTTTTAATTTATGGCCTTCCAAATGTCTAATACCAACCGCTGCGTCAATCCAATTTTTGACATGTTTTTGGGGCAAAAAGTCTTCAATTTACGGGCCATCTCTGCTTCATACCCATAATAACTTCTAAGGTGTTGTTGATTAATGAAGTTCGCAAAATATTTTTTTGTAGGTTCATACAAGAAAAACTGTGTTCGCAACTTGCCGTTGAAGCGCTGAAGGTTAGCATAATCTCTAACAAGACATTTAGTTGCCAATTCATGTTCATTTTCAAGCAAGATATCTTTATGCTTAAAAGTGAATTTGTCCTTAGTTTAGAGACTTTCTCCCTAAATAAAGGCCACTGCAATACACATAAATTAGAAGTTTCTCTGCTTATCATATTATTGTTCTCATAAAAGTTGCAAACACTTTTTAGTTCATTAAATTCCCATTTTTTTATCTCTAGCAAACCAGTAAAGGATTTTGGCCAGTTTCAACAATCAAATATTATGGTTAAAGATTTTAATGGTTCTTGATTAAAATCGCGGCGGAATCGCTTGTCTATATATTCTTTTGCTCCATCAATAATTTTAATAAAATATTTTTTTAAAAGGTTTTTATTTCACATTTTAGTTTGAACACCAGTTTTATTGCCAGACATTACAGATGCACCATCAAAGTTAACATTTACAGTTTTTGCATATTGTTTAAATATAAATCTTGATTCATTTTGTCTGTTGTCAAACTTTTTAAAACAAATTCTATTGCATTTAATATACCATCGGCATCAACTGTCAGTGGTGAGTTAATACCAGCAAATATAGTTATTGGATTACTATTTTTAACAAACCTTAAAAAAACTGTTTTGTTCACTAATACTCTTATCAGTGGAACCGTCAGATAAAATTGCAATAAAACGAGCATTTGAAACGTCCAAACTTTTTCAATTTGCAATAAAACGAGTATTTGAAACCTCCAAACTAATTCACGTTTCAAGTCAGAAGAAATTGACGATACAAAGCTTTTACAAGATTTGTCACTTAAGTAGTTCTTGTCCAACTTAATTCCATTTAGCTTTTGTAGCTTGCACAGCTGAGGAAATTTTTTAACTGCAAGATCCTCTTTAACAACAAAATACGATATCCAAAAAAGTCTGTTCAATTCTTCTTGGTTATTTTCAGTAGTTCCTAAAATTGATGTCGATACAGTTTTCTCAAGACTTGGAGCCATATAGTAAAGGTTCTTTCAATATTTAGAAATATAGGCTTTATACCCATCATCTTTATTGTGGCATAACAAATATTCTTTTCCAAAATTTACATCCCATTGTTACTGAATTGGTTGTATTGCTAATATTTGGATACTTTTGGCAAACCCAACAAGAAAAGCACTCATTTGATTTGTCAATATGAATCCAGCTTAGTTATTGCCCGTGTTTTTTATTTCTTGGCGGCAATCTAATTGCGGTCTTCCAAAACATAAATTTAATATCTTTTGGCCATATATCAAATTTTCCCAAAGTCATAGCACAATCCAAGTCATTGCACTTTTTTTTTGGATGTTTAGTTTCTCTCTCTTCTTCTCTTTTACGTTTAATACTACGTTTCGCCTGTACCATCTTTCTTTAACTTCGAAAAGATGCTTAGTTGTTTTGACATTTTTTAAAAAACTTTAAAAATAATATTATATTAAGTATTTAATTATAAGTTAATAAAAATATCATATTATTGGTGTTACGCACAATAAAAAAATTAAAATTTTAACAAACATAATAACTTTATATATTCTATTAGATTATGAATTTTTTAGCAAAACTTGAACATTATTTTAAACTTTTATAAGTTTTAAAAATGCAAACTAACATTACTTCACTTTAGGGAAAATAAGAAAAAAAAAGAAAAAGCACGCTATTAAAAAAAGCAATCGTTATTTAAGCATGGTTTTTTTTAAGCAATTGCAAATGAACTCATTTTAAATAAAAATTTGAATGCTTTTTTAAACGCATGCAAAAACCATGCTTAAACTAACTGCTTTCTTGGTTCCATTGAAGAAAATAGCTTTAGCGTGGTTTCTTTTAAAGTCTTGTAATTTATTTTAAAATTTTGTAATTAGTTGTTTTTTTGTGTTTTCTATAATAAATAAAAAACGATCAATACTTAATTGTTTGGAAAAAAAAATTGCTATAGTAACGCATTCATTTTTAAAAATTTTAGGCGAACGCCAATGTTTGCGTTAAGAAAAGTAAAGGAACGTGACATTTGTTTTTCTGTCTTTTTTTGTGCAGACGTTCGCAGGTTTGTCGATTTTTCGCGCCCTGATGTTTATTTTCCGATTACTGTCGAGGTATGTTATCTGACCTAAAACACGCTTTGAAAAAGCTTCGCAGTGTATGTAATAGTTTGGTAAGTTAACATTAGGAATAGATAAGCATGCCTCACGCATTCTTGAAATTAGTTCATTTCTTCCAGCTGGGACCGTATTTCTTCATACGTTATTCTTAAGATAAAAAAAAATCTCTACACTCGGATTCAAGAATGGTGAATATAGTGGCAATTATTTTATTTGAATGTTCTGACCCCTCATCTCAACATTATGATGGATTCTGACATTATCCATCACCAGGGTGAATTCTTCCTCTGTCCCCAAAACTCGTACAACTTCATCAATATATTCTTGAAACAAAACTGTGTTGACTTACACACTGACAGCTTCGCATTGAATAATATTTAAACCATTGACGGCCAATATCATCCAAACGTTACGTTGCCTAGGTTAAATGATCAGGTTTGGTGTTACTCCTCTTTTTGCCAATGAATGAGTGCAAAACATGTGTAAATTAAATGAACTTTCATCAATAAAAACAAAATTTTGATAGCAATTAATAGGCGAGATTGAAGTATACCACCTAACATATTCAATACAAAGATTTTTTACATCATTGTTGTTTAAAGCAAACGTGACATCCATTCAAATTTAAAATAAATTCCATTAATTTTAACTAAATTAATATAATATTAATAAAAATAAATTTATATAATGTAAGATAAATAAATATATAAAGAAGACCTTTTTTTTGAAAATAATATAGAATGTTAAGATTGCGCATGCTTTAAATATTTTAAATGAAAATAACGATTGTTTTAATTGAAAATCACATTGTTTTAATTGATTGTCGCGGTGTTTCAAATGAATGTCATGGTTGTTTTAAATGATTGTCATGATTGTTTTAAATGGATGTAAAAACCGGTAAAAAGTTTCACATAAACTGTAGTTTTAAAGAGCCATTAATAAATTAGACTACAAAAAGTTAAATGTTTTTTTTCCTCTTAAGTAATAGACTGCCTGTCTAGACCAAACCCTCAGTCAATGTAGCAGCACTTACTTGCGAGTCAGGCTATTTGTCAGTCAATGAAGCAGCACTGCCTTGCGAGTCAGGCTATTTGTCTGTCGATGTAGAAGCACTCCGTTGCCAGTCAGGCTATAAGATAGTCATGTAGCAACACTTCCCACATGTTTTAAAAATATATTTTAATAAAACAGCAACAAAAACACCATTGATTAAAAAAAACTCTCTAGTCATTATTATTGCAGTTTTTTAAAAAAACATAAAAATTTAATGTATTTTCCGCATTAGTTTAATATATATATATAATATATATATATATATATATATATATATATATATATATATATATATATATATATATATATATATATATATATATATATATATATGTATATATATATATATATATATATATATATATATATATATATATATATATATATACATATGTATATATATATATATATATATATATATATATATATATATATATATACATATGTATATATATATATATATATATATATATATATATATATATATATATATATTATATCGTATATATATATATATATATATATATATACATATGTATATATATATATATATATATATATATATATATATATATATATATATATATATATATATATATATATATATATATATATATATACACACAAAATAGATAATGTATTATTATGGTATAATAATAATTATACAAATTACGTCAGGACTCGTTCCACCATAATTTTAATTTGTAATTTTTTAACTGTTTTTAAGTGACGAAATACACAATGGCTGATGATTGTCGAAAGGCATGTAACTCAGATTTACATCAAAAGTTGTTTTTATTCATTTAAAATAAATAAATAATTTTAGGTAAATGTTCATTAGATATGCTACTTGATGATACATATTATTTAGTAGTTTATTTCTATTATGTTTTGTCTGTAAATGCAGTATTGGCTTTGTTTAGATAATTTTATTCTTCATTGAGAAAATGTCATGATTCTCAATAAATAAAACTTTTAGTGAAATTTATTTCTGAAAAACTATTGTTGAAGTTAATATAACTTTTGTACCACACCATTTATATATGGTGTTGGAAGCACCCAGAAAATATACTGATTATCCAGAAAATGCATAAAATGAAATTAATTTTTTAGGATCAATCATTTCTATCATAGGATTAGAATGATTTATTTATGTAATTTTTAATTTTCTTTGTTCAGAAGAAAAAAATATGAACTTATAATATATTCTAAGCTTAAATTTACTTTAAAAATACAAATACTTCAAAACAAATAATAAATAGACTTCCTAATCACTTTAAATTTAATAAAATACCCACTGAATAACTTATAAATAAACAGTTTGATGACAGGAAAAAGAAACAAACTCCCTCAGCGAAATATAGCACTAGTCCTAATATATGATAAATAAAACTTTAAAAAAAAAAACTTGATCTGTTAAAAGTGATCAACTAACTTTAAAATTTATAACTTTGATACTCATAATATTCAATTATGTTTGAAATATTAACTATAATGTCTCATGTTTGAAATAATAATAATAAATGTTGTAATATTATTTTCTTACAGCTTTACCTGAAACTACTCAAGGTATTTAAAATTTACTTCATTATTTCATTTCTTATTTCTTTTATTTTTTTATTGTTGATTTTTGCTTCCTATTGTAAGCAAGTTTTTTTAAACTAAAGTATTATGTGAATATATATAATAATAATGCAATCATACCAATTAAATCTAGAAATAAATATAAAATTTAAGGTTCATTAAAACTTCTTCTTGTTTACAGATATGATTGACTGCACATGTCTAAAAGAATTTTGTGAATACGACTTTGACAAAGAGATTTGTTCCATAGTTCATCAATCATGCCCATTATCAAAGTCTACTCCAACACTGTTTTGTAACAAAATAAAATCTACAACAACCATAACAACACCTACAGCAACCTCAACTGATTCCACATCAACCACAACTGATTCAACAACAGCCACAACTGATTTTACATCAACCATAACTTCACCTATAACAGAACCAACTGAATCTACAAATACCAAAACTACACCATCAATAACCACAACTGATTCAACATCAACTACAACTAACTCTACAACGACCACAACTGATTCAACATCGACCACAACTGACTCTACAACGACCACAACTGATTCAACAACAACCACAACAGATTTTACATCAACCATAACTTCACCTAAAACAGAAACAACTGAATCTACAACTACCATAACTACACCTACAATAACTACAACTGATGCAACATCTACCACAACTGATACAACAACAACCACAACTGATTCTACATCAACCATAACTTCACCTATAAAAGTAACAACTGAATCTACAACTAGCATAACTACACCATCAACAACCACAACTGATTCAACAACGACTCCAACTAACTCAACAACAACCACAACTGATTTTACATCAACCATAACTTCACCTATAACAGAAACAACTGAATCTACAACTACCATACCTACACTATCAACAACAACAACTGATTCAACATCGACAACAACTGACTCTACAACAACCACAACTGATTCAACAACAACCATAACTGATACAACAGGAACCACAACTGATTCTACGACAACCATAACTTCACCTATAACAGAAACAACTGAATCCACAACTACCATAACTACACCATCAACAACCACAACTGATTCAACATCAACTACAATTGACTCTACAACAACCACAACTGATTCAACAACAACCACTGAATCTACATCAACCATAACTTCACCTATAACAGAAACAACTGAATCTACAACTACCATAACTACACCATCAACAACCACAACTGATTCAACATCGACCACAACTGACTCTACAACAACCACAACTGATTCAACAACAACCACAACTGATTCTACATCAACCATAACTTCACCTATAACAGAAACAACTGATTCTACAACTACCATAACTACACCATCAACAACCACAACTGATTTAACATCGACTACAACTGACTCTACAACAACAACAACTGATTCAACAGCAACCACAACTGATTCTACGTCAACTATAACTTCACCTATAACAGAAACAACTGAATCTACAACTACCATAACTACACCTACAACAACATCAACTGATTTAACGTCGACCACAACTGATTCAACAACCACAACTGATACAACAACAACCACAACTGATTCTACATCAGCAATAACTTCACCTATAACAGAAACAACTGAATCTACAACTACCATAACTACACCATCAACAACAACAACTGATTCAACATCGACTACAACCTACTCTACAACAACCACAACTGATTCAACATCGACTACAACTGACTCTACAGCAACCACAACTGATTCAACAACAACCACTGAATCTACATCAACCATAACTTCATCTATAACAGAAACAACTGAATCTACAACTACCATAACTACACCATCAACAACCACAACTGATTCAACATCGACTACAACTGACTCTACAACAACCACAACTGATTCAACAACAACCACTGAATCTACATCAACCATAACTTCACCTATAACAGAAACAACTGATTCTACAACTACCATAACTACACCATCAACAACCACAACTGATTTAACATCGACTACAACTGACTCTACAACAACAACAACTGATTCAACAGCAACCACAAATGATTCTACGTCAACCATAACTTCACCTATAACAGAAACAACTGAATCTACAACTACCATAACTACACCTACAACAACATCAACTGATATAACGTCGACCAATACTGATTCAACAACAACCACAACTGATACATCAACAACCACAACTGATTCTACATCAGCCATAACTTCACCTATAACAGAAAAAACTGAATCTACAACTACCATAACTACACCATCAACAACAACAACTGATTCAACATCGACTACAACCTACTCTACAACAACCACAACTGATTCAACATCGACCACAACTGACTCTACAACAACCACAACTGATTCAACAACAACCACAACTGATTCAACAACAACCACAACTGATTCTACATCAACCATAACTTCACCTATAACAAAAACAACTGAATCTACAACTACCATAACTACACCATCAACAACCACAACTGATTCAACATCAACTACAATTGACTCTACAACAACCACAACTGATTCAACAACAACCACTGAATCTACATCAACCATAACTTCACCTATAACAGAAACAACTGATTCTACAACTACCATAACTACACCATCAACAACCACAACTGATTTAACATCGACTACAACTGACTCTACAACAACAACAACTGATTCAACAGCAACCACAACTGATTCTACGTCAACTATAACTTCACCTATAACAGAAACAACTGAATCTACAACTACCATAACTACACCTACAACAACATCAACTGATTTAACGTCGACCACAACTGATTCAACAACAACCACAACTGATACAACAACAACCACAACTGATTCTACATCAGCCATAACTTCACCTATAACAGAAACAACTGAATCTACAACTACCATAACTACACCATCAACAACAACAACTGATTCAACATCGACTACAACCTACTCTACAACAACCACAACTGATTCAACATCGACCACAACTGACTCTACTACAACCACAAATGATTCAACAACCACCACTGAGTCTACATCAACCATAACTTCACCTATGACAGAAACAACTGAATCTACAACTACCACAACTACACCTGCAATAACCTCAACTGATTTAACGTCGACCACAACTGACTCTACAACAACCACAACTGATTCAACAACAACCAAAACTGATTCTACATCAACCATAACTTCACCTATAACAGAAACAACTGAATCTACAACTACCATAACTACACCATCAACAACCACAACTGATTTAACATCAACTACAACTGACTCTACAACAACCACAACTGATTCAACATTGATCACAACTGACTCTACAACAACCACAACTGATTCAACAACAACCACAACTGATTTTACATCAACCATAACTTCACCTATAGTAGAATCAACTGAATCTACAACTACTATAATTACTCCTACAATAACTTCAACTGATGCAGCATCTACCACAACTGAATCAACAACAACCATAACTGATACAACAGCAACCACAACTGATTCTACATCAACCATAACTTCACCTATAACAGAAACAACTGAATATACAACTACCATATCTACACCTACAACAACCTCAACTGTTTTAACGTCAACCACAACTGATTCAACAACAGCCACAACTGATACAACAGCAACCACAACTGATTCTACATCAACCATAACTTCACCTATAACAGAAACAACTGAATCTACAACTACCATAACAACACCATCAACAACAACAACTGATTCAACATCCAATACAACATACTCTACAACAAACACAACTGATTCAACATCGACCACAACTGACTCTACAACAACCATAACTGATTCAACATCGACCACAACTGACTCTACAACAACCTCAACTGATTTAACAACAACCACAACTGATTCTACATCAACCATAACTTCACCTATAACAGAAACAACTGAATATACAACTACCATAACTACACCATCAACAACCATAACTGATTCAACATCGACTACAACTGACTCTACAACAACCACAACTGATTCAACATCGACCACAACTAACTCTACAACAACCACAACTGATTCAACAACAACCACAACTGATTTTACATCAACCATAACTTCACCTATAACAGAAACAACTGATTCTACAACTACCATAACTACACCATCAACAACCACAACTGATTTAACATCGACTACAACTGACTCTACAACAACAACAACTGATTCAACAACAACCGCAACTGATTTTACATCAACCATAACTTCACCGATAACGGAAACAACTGAATCTACAACTACCATAACTACACCTACAATAACTTTAACTGATGCAACATCTACCACAACTGATTCAACAACAACCACAACTGATATAACAACAACCACAACTGATTTTACATCAGCCATAACTTCACCAATTGCAGAAACAACTGAATCTACAACTACCATAACTACACCATCAACAACCACAACTGATTCAAAATTGACTACAACTGACTCTACAACAACCACAACTAATGCTTTCTCAACCTTAACTTCACCTATAACAGAACTAACTGAATCTACAACTAGCATAACTACACCATCAACAACCACAACTGATTCAACATCGACCACAACTGATTCTACAACAACCACAACTGATTCAACAACAACCAAAACTGATTCTACATCAACCATAACTTCACCTATAACAGAAACAACTGAATCTACAACTACCATAACTACACCATCAACAACCACAACTGATTCAACATCGACTACAACTGACTCTACAACAACCACAACTGATTCAACAACAACCACAACTGATTTTACATCAACCATAACTTTACCTATAACAGAAACAACTGATTCTACAACTACCATAACTACACCATCAACAACCACAACTGATTTAACATCGACTACAACTGACTCTACAACAACCACAACTGATTCAACAACAACCGCAACTGATTTTACATCAACTATAACTTCACCTATAACAGAAACAACTGAATCTACAACTATTATAACTACACCTGCAATAACTTTAACTGATGCAACATCTACCACAACTGATTCAACACCAACCACAACTGATACAACAACAACCACAACTGATTTTACATCAACTATAACTTCACCTATAACAGAAACAACTGATTCTACAACTACCTTAACTACACCTTCAACAACCTCAACTGATTCAACATCGACGACAACTGAATCTACAACAACCACAACTGATTCAATAACAACCACAACTGAATCGACTCTAACTGACTCTACATAACCACAACTGGTTCAACAACAACCACAACTGATTCTACATTAACCGTATCTTCATCTATATTAAAAACAGCTGATTCTACAACTACCTTAACTACACATTCAACAACCTCAACTGATTTAACCTCGACGACAACTGACTCTACAACAACCAGAACTGATTCAACAACAACCACAATTGAATCAACAACAACCATAACTTTACTTATAACAGAAGCAACTGGATATACAACTACTAAACTACACCTTCAATAACTTCAACTGATGCAACATCTATCGCCACTTATTCATCAACAATATCGACTGATACAACAACAACCACATCTGATTCTACATTAACCATAACTTTACCTATAATTGAAACAACTGAATCTTCAACTACCTTAACTACACCTACAACAACCTCCACTGATTTAACATCGACCACAATAGACTCTACAACAACCACCACTGATTCAACATAAACCACAACTGAGTCAACAACAACTTTAACTGTTTCAACATCGACCACGAATGAGTCAACAGTAACCACAACTGATTCAACAACAAGTACAACTGATTTAACAACAACCACAACTAAATCAACAACCACAACTGATTCTAAATCAACCATAACTTCACCTGTAACAGAAACAACTGAATCTACAATTACCATAACTACACCTATAACATCCACAACTGATTTAACATCGACTACAACTGACTCTACAACAACCCCAACTGTTTCAACATCGACCACAACTTACTCTAGGACATCCACAACTAATTCAACAACAACCACAACTGATTTTACATCAACTTTAACTTCTCCTATAACAGACACATCTGAATCTACAACTACCATAACTACACCTAAAACAACGACAACTGATTTAATATCGACTACAACTGACTCTACAACAACCACAACTGAATCAAAAACAACCAAAAGTGATTCTACATCAACCATAACTTCACCTATAACAGAAACAACTGAATCTACAACTACCCTAACTTCACCTACAACAATCTTAACTGATTTAATATCGACCGCAACTGATTCAAGATTAACCAAAACCGATGCAACAACAACCACATCTGATTCTACATCAACCTTATCTTCACCTATAACAGAAACAATTGAATCTACATCTATCATAACTCCACCTTCAACAACCTCAACTGATTCAACATCGACTACCACAGAGTCATCAACAACCACAACTGATTTTACATCAACCGCAACTGATTGAACAACCACCACATCTGATTCTACATAAACCACAACTTTACCTTTAACCGATACAACTAAATCTACAACTACCATAACTACACCTGCAACAACCTTAACTGATTCAACATCTACCACAACTTTTTCAACAACAACCATAACAAATTCTACATCAACCATTACTTTACTTATAATAGAAACAACTAATTCTACAACTACCATAACTTCACCTGCAACATCCTCAACTGATTTAACTTCAACCGCAACTGATTCAACAATTTTTTCCTTTGGTTTAAGAACAACCACAACTGATTCAACAACAACTACTACTTATTCGCCATCAACCACCGAATCCTCTACATCTTTTTTGGAGCATACAAGAACAACATCTGTATCTATATCATTTTCATCCGATTTTACAAGCAAAGTTCCTAAAATCTATCAACCATAGCTAAATTTGCATTAACCACATTTTAACCTACAACATTTTTTTTGGGGCATAAAGTATATTGATAACAAAAGCTATTTTGAATGATGCTTTAACATCCGCAAATGAGTAGACAAAAGTTACTACTATGGCAACAGCCAACTTAATCGAAGAGATGACAAAATATGTTACATCAAGCACATATGGTCTTTTAACAAATGTTTTTCGGCGACAACAATCATATATACGACAACGACACTCTAAACTCCACATACTACAACTTAGACAACAATAATTACACAATCTATAAAATCGACATTTTTGAAGATTGATATATTTTTTAAAACACATTTGCTTTTTGTGAACTAATTATTTTATAATGAACATTTAGTTTTTCGTTATTTTAGTCTTTCTTTATTCCTCTACGCGTAAATAGGTTGATGAAGTTTTTAACATTCTTAAAAGTTTTTAATAAGAACAAGTTTAACCGCTTTCATTTTTTTTAAAAATGTATTTGAATAGTTGTATCTATAGACTGTAAGGAACTTAACTTTTTTTATTATGTTTTTTTCTAATTTACTGTATTATATATAAAGTTTTCAGGTCTAAATATTTGATTAGTATTGTTATGTATACATTTTTTTTCACGTTTCAGAGTTTTAAAGAATAAAAATAAATTGACTTTTGTAGGACTATTTGATTTTTAACTAATAAATTCTAACCCATGACCTATTTAAATACACGTCCTTCTAATCTGCTTTAAAAAAATAAAATAGATGGCCTGGTAAAAAATCGTATATTTTTTTAAATAGACAATAGTTCTTAAAATATTTCACCAATTGAAAGCGTATTTATTAAAAAAAAAAAATTTGTCTTTTTAAAATATCTTCTAATATTTACCATAAACTAGCAAAATGCAACCCTTAATACGGGTTTAACCGACCAAAACATGCAATATTGTGGCTGTTTTCCACAATTTAATGTTGCTAAACCTTAACTTATACCTATTTAGATAAACGCCTTCAGCTTGAAAAAATTAATCCATATGTAAAATTAATATAAAGACTATGAGGAGGTAAAATAATTTACCAACTACTACTTAACATTTACAATTACTACTTAACATTATTTGAGTAGTTTACAACTGACATAGGTCATAACAGTGTAAGGCAGAACCATTTTCATCAACCTTTCTAAGTTCAACACAATACGTTTTTTGTTACTGACACAAAATAATAACACTTCATCATGCTTTAAATTGACGAAAGTATCAACTAAATCTTTGTAATAATTTTTATAACACGAACCATTAAGATTAAAATGAAGTTAACTTATATTACACAGGAGTTATCAGTTTTTTGGTATTCCTTGATTAATTTTTCTTTAGAAAAGAAAATTGTTAACTTGAAAATGTTAAATGCACACAATTAAATAAATTTATTGAAAATAATTTAGTTTATTATAAATAACTAAGCAACTGAGTACAAATACGTTTCAAACAAAAAAAGTTTAGTTTACAATCAAACATGGGTAAAACAAATTTGAAAAAATATGTAAACTTAATGCATTAATGCATCATATGACAAACCTAAAATAAAAATTATAACAGTTAAGTAGACATAAAAATTTGTAAACCAAGCTGACCCGACCCGGGTCTTGTTAAGTCTGTTCAACACAGACCATTTCTATATTATTTGTTTGGCGTCTTTATTTCATTAATTTTTAGTAAACGGTAATTTGACACCATTTACTAAAAATTCCTTTTGTAATCCGAAATTTATTTTTTCTAAATATTTTGACTCTAATAAAGAGCTTCCTCCCCTCTTTTTGCTTTAATGGTGGCCAGGTGAGTAGAGTTTTATTTATTAAGAGTAATCATGTTTTTGATGAAGACCTTTTACCAAAATAATAAAATGTAAAACAATGATCTACATATATAAGAATGTTTTCTTTCTTTCCTCAAAAGTGTTGCAAATACAGACTAAGGTAATTAATTAGTTAAACACGTTAAGAAAACTTAAGTAACTCGATATTAAATGCGCAAAACTACAATATTCTCCATGTTTTTAAAGGTTTTTAGTTACGACCCTCCATTCACAAAGGTCCCCTTAAAATACGTATAACAAATTATTAGGCATAAAATAGATAAAATGTAAAATTAACTAATAACATATATTTATATCTTTTTAACTAACAAAAATTTACAATAAATAGAAATCAGGTTTTTTTATTTTATAAATCTTATAAATGCGTCATAATATAAATCTAAAATAAAAAAGTAATGAAGTTTTATCATAATTACAAAAAAAAAAAAAAAAAAAAAAAAACCACCACACAATTACCGAAAATCGCTTTTACCTATTTATACTAACCTATTTTGAAATTGCAGTTAATATAAAGATTTATCAAAAAAGTAACTATAAAATCTGTTTCAAAGTACAAAAGCATTAACAAGACTAAAAAAAAACTAAGATATAAATTGTTGTCTTGGCTTTTAGTAAATGAATAAAAACAGTTCCAAAAATGAATCTATTTATTATTCATTTTTAACAATAGACACCACATGAATGTAAGCTGTTTATCAACACAAAAAATCACAACAATAACATTACAACAATAACACATAACAATAATATCCAATGAAAATAATAAACTAAATTAAAATATGAAAGGCAAAATTAAAAAACCAAATTAAAATTAACTATATTTATCTTTTTACTAAACTTTAATAAAGTATATTTGTTTTTATATTCAATATTAGTTAATCAATTATTTAAAATTTAGGACATTAAAGCACCCTAGATTTAAAGATTAAGGTTGCATACTCTCTCATCCACATTACGCTAAACATTAACAGACATTATGCGTTTCCAGAATAATTAAAAAAAGCTACACAACTCAACCTAGCTCTAAAGCAGTAAAACCGCCTGGCACTAAATGCTGACAAATCACACCTCTGCTATAAGTACACCGCTTGGCTGGCAAGGTTATCAAATTTGCTTTACATAATACCTAGACAAACCACTTTAAAAACATGGAAACAACATAATTTAAATATATATACAACTATAAACAAATATGACTTTATGTAACACATATCAACACATTTTACAACTATTGAATGACAGAGATATTTATCAAAAACTATGGAAAAAAAAGATTATAATAAATAAAGTTATACATACAAAATGTGTTCACAACCTTTAACAGTAAATTTTCAAAATGAAAATCTAAAGACTATAAATTAAGAACATTCGAAAATATAACAATATTTATGTAACATTTTTTACCTACTATACGTCGAATAAGATGTTTATCAATTTTGAAAAACGAACTATTAAATGCTCTAGTTCTTGAACATGCCATATATAGTTGACCATGAGATAAACACGGTTTTTGAGATATTTCTTTTGTCTATATGTTTAATTTTGCGTTACGCAATATATAGATGATCCCTAAAATGAAATACTTGAAACTAAATAGATTTTATTTATTACAATATTTGACCAACCAAGGGACAACTTAAACAATTATATCTTTAAATAGCAAGCAGCTCGTAAATATATCTTATAAATGGTCATTATCGATCACAGTATTAAAAAATATGCAAGAACTCAGTAATTACATGAGTTTAATCAATTCTCCTTCTACAATTCTCAATACTAATTCTTATTTAAGTCTCATCTAAGAGAGACAGAAAGTATTTCAAAAGCAGCATGTTAGTTTTACTATGCTATCAATAAATAAAATTATTTTTACCTTTACTAAAAGTTAATTTCCAACATTTCTTGATTAAGATCCAGCTTCTCTCTAACTGTCGACTAATGTTTAATATTGTAAATTTTACATCATAATAAATTTACAAAATTAAAACCATGTTTCAACAGTAAGCAAAATAATCAAGTGATGACAAAGAGAACTAAAAGAAAATGAACACAATTATGTTTAAGATTACAAAATAAAAATAATAAAATAAAAACATTTAAAATTGAAACTGTTATTATTTGTAACTATAAATGGTAAAATTTATACTTTGCTTTTATTTAAAGTGTCTAATGTAAAATCAAATAATAGACATCAACACCGCTTGTCACTGAATTCTGGCAAGTAAGTTTTCTGTTCATCAAGGAAAATTTCTTATATTTCAACTAAAATTGATTTTATCACGCTTAGATCTATCACTTATATATGACAACAATTTTAAGTCACCTATACACTAATAACTTCTTCGAGCCTAAAATTATACATCTGTTATCATTAAATATATTACTAGTGATTATATTACTGTTACAACTAAATAAATGAACGTTTTATTTTTTACAACTAAAAAATATAAAACAAAATTTATTTATATCATTTAAATTTAGCAAAGAATTTAGTTACAATAAAAATGTTATTTTTACTTTCAGACACAATTTTAATGCACAAAAATAATAAATGCAGAATCTTGTATAAAAAATGAAGCAATGTCAGTCTAAAGTAATATATGTATGTATGTGTATATATTCAATTTTTTCTATTCTTTTTATTTTTTCTTTTAGATAATATTTATATAGAAACAGAGAAATATAAAATATACTGATATACAGGCACATTTATGTATATAAACTTATCTCTCAAAAATTACAGTCAGATTTCCATGTTAAATACATAAAATATATATCTAATATATAATAAATCTAGTATAATAAAATAAAACAAAATATTAAACTTACTCAAATCAGTAACAGTTCGACTGTCTAAAAATTTTTATTATTAACTCTTCTATTTAAAAATTTGATTTGAAGTGACTAAAAAGCAGTTTAGCTCTTTCCAATTGCACTAAAAAATAAAACAAATCTTGCTTTGCTAAGTTCTTAAGAATCTTAAAACAAATAAGTAAAAAACCAAGAGCAAACAAACATTTATTTATTAAAACTACTCTATTTAAACAAATTAAATTAAACAGAGAACAACTTTGATTCTCCTCGAAAGCTGAAAAACTTTTCAGCTCAAATTTGTTTGCAGACCTTGCTTATAAAACCACTTGAATAAGAAAAGCATCAAAAAAGCCTATAAGCTACTTAAAAGTGGTATATGCAACATTGAACTATAAATGTTGACTGGAGTAGATATTTTTAAAAAATTCATAAAAATTCAAAATGATTTGTTCTTCTATAGCAAATGAACACACCATAAATCTGAAGTTAAAAATGTAACGAATAATTAAATACAAAGAAAAACATCATATGTGAATTGAAAATCAATGAACCTGATAGAGATAAGCTGTTGTGATACCTGAGTAGTAGTTGCTAAATATTATTATTCCATGATAAACAAAATGTATTTATAGCGAAATGATGTCTTGAATGAATTTTAGTAAATAAATAAAAGCAGTGAGTTCT